ACACACACACACACACACACACACACACACACACACACACACACACAGTCATACACACACTACACACACATATATCTATACACATATACACACATATACAAATAAAAATAAATCTTTTTGTTTTTGTTGTTTTTTTAGAGACATGGTTTCTCTGTGTACACTTGACTGTCCTGGACTCGCTTTGTAGACCAGGCTGGCCTTGAACCCACAGAGATCTGCCTGCCTCTGCATTCCAGAGTGCTGGGATTACAGGCATGTGCCACCATGCCCAGCTATAAAAATAAATCTTTACAAAAACAAAAAGAACATGTTGTCCCCTGACCTCCACAAAACGCCCCGGTTGGCACATGCACACATCCCTTATGAATGTAATAAATGTAATAAAACCCTTTAAAAAACACCGTTCACATATAACCTGGCACTGGGCTTAGCATATGACAGAATCTCAAGATACTGATTAAGTGAATGAGTTTATGGGCGAATGAACTCAGAACTGTGGTCACAATCTAGCATGGCGTCTAATCCCCGTTTGCCTCCTTTCTGCACCTTTTTGCTCTGTCTCCTGGGAATGCCCCCTCCCTCCCAGGCCCCCCGAGTCTGTTCATACAGAACCTCAGACAGGTCCACACTGTAATACACCCCCTCATCACACCGTTCCCCTGCAGACCCTCAGTCTCTCTCCCCTTGGGAACTCAGAGCTCTTACTGCTGGCCATGAGACATACATTGCTTTCTACACAGCTTTCTGTGAGTTTCCTGAGAACTTAGCACAAATCAAAAGCTTGAGAAATGCCTGAGGCTTGGCTGGATGGGACCGAAGTGACTTGCCCAGCATCTTAACTTATCCCTTCAGCCTGGAGGACAGCGCCTTCCCACACATTTGTCAGCCATCTCTGAGGGTACCTGGGCTAGAAGACAGAGTAGAGAATGAAGGGCCCGGGGATTCACAGAGGGAGGAATAGGTCGAGGTACAAAATAGCCTGTATCAGAAGATGAGAGCAACTAGGAGCGTACATAAATCCACAGGGCGCTAAAGTCACAGCGTCCGTGTACTAAGCGCTGGGCTTGTGGAGGTGGACTAAAAGGGAAAATTACTTTTGGGTTTTTTTGTTTTGTTTTTTTGTTATTTAAATCCTTTAGTCACATTTTAAAGTTGGCCTATGGAGTTTTATTTTAGATTTGGCAAAAGAGAGGGCTGGAGAGACTCTGCTCAGAGACTGAGGATTTGTTGCTTTTGTAAAGGACTATTCCCATCACTACACTGTGGCCCACAACCACCTTTAACCCCTAGGCCAGAGCTTCTCGACCTGTGGGTCATAACTCTCTGGAGTCAAAGGATCTCTTCACAGGGGTCACCTAATACCATTCAAAAACACAGGTATCTACAGTACAATTCATAACAGTAGCAAAAATTACAGTTATGACATAGCAACAAAATAATTTTATGGTTGGGGGTCACACGATATTAAAGGGTTGCAGCATTAGGATGGTTTAGAACCACTGCCCTGGGCACTTGTGTGGTATACATTCATACACATAAAATTAAAAAGAAAATAGAAGAGGAGGAAGAGGAAGAAGAGAGTGTTGATAATTTGGCAGAAGAGAGCCTATGAGACAGCTCATTAAGTAAAGGTCCTTGCTGCCAAGCCCAATAAGCCCAGAGTTAGATCCACACATATACACACATTAATAAGGAGTTGGCAAAAAAAAAAAAAATACTCAAACCAAAACAAAAAAACAAAACAAAAACAAAGTTGTCAATCTGACAAATATTTACTGAACACACTGCAGGTGCCAGCTATAAATCTGGGCATAAACAGCCAAGTGCGATGGTGAACACCTGTAATCGCAGCATTCTGGGAGGCAGAGGCAGGTGGATCTCTGTGAGTTCAAAGAGAGCCTGGTCTACAAAGCCAGTCCAGGACAGCCAAGGCTACCCAGAGAAACCCTGTCTCAAAAAAAATCAAAACCAAACAGAAAAACTCTGGGCACAGACCACCATGATGAAGAGGCAAATGTCTCTGGCCTTGTGTTGAGATTTCTGTCTATCTAGTTCCCCTGATCTCCAGGGCTGCCTGAACGGCTAATCTGGAAGAATGGGGCCAGTCAGGGTCTCCCTTGAGACTGAGCTCTGGCTCTGAGTAGTCCAAGATAGAAGTAGATATAGCTAAGCCTGTAGGTACTTAGAAAGGACTCAGTTGCTCAGAGTGAGTGCTACCTATGGTTCCTGTTTTTATTCTGATTCCCCAACAAGGCAGGGAGGCAAGCAATTCAGAGACAGGGCTTCCTGTTTGGCCTTCGGGCTGGGAGAAGGTGCTAGGAGCATGTGGAAATCTAGGCTGAAACAAGATGCTACGGCTGTGTCTGATGGTCACCGTGGCCCACCTCTCCGGATCTGAAGCTGCCTCATCCTTCCCTTTGCTCCTGTACTAGCCCCAGTTTCCCTCCCAGAGTCTTCTGGACTTGTTCGACCTGGCAGCTCTCCCCTCCCAGCCTCCAGGAAGGCCTGGCAAGTGGCAGCTGTGAACTTGAGACTGTGATCTGGCTCCTTGGGGCTCGGCTGCTGCCCCAGTGCCCCAGATTAGGATGACTGATGGGTTGTTCCTGGCTCCCTTTCACAGAGGAGGGAGGAGGTGATGGTGACGTGCTAAGTCCAGTTACCAGACTCTTCCTGAGATGCTGCCCATCCCTTGCAGGTGTGGGGCACAGCAGCAAAGTCTGAAGGAACCCTAAACTTTTATCAAAAGCACTGTGGTCCAGGCCCCAAGCTGTGCGAACTTCCGGGTCAAAACAGGGACCAGCTGAAGCCTGGGCTTCTCAATGTTAAACAAGGAAGCATAGCATCTT